CTCTGAGCCCCCATTTTACTATAGGCCTGTCTACATCAGCTTGAGTTGGCCAAATAGCCCGCTATGTCAGATTCGGGAAATTAGCCCAATCACGTAATAGAGGGGCTATTTGGCAGGTGAAGACACAAATAATTCCCAAGATATCTTGGGCTAGTTTGCAAAAATAAAATGTTGATTTCCAATCATACATATCTTGATGAGTACAGGCGATCGGCTTGTAAAAGTCATGGGATTCCCGACTGACCTAAAGGTTTATAATTGCAGCATGAACAATATCCAGGATTTTGTTTCAGAATCTGAGGCAGTCTTACCGAGTCACTTTAAATGGAGGCACGATAGCTCAGTCGGTAGAGCAGTGGTCTTGTGATCCGGTGACCCGGATTCGAAACCAAGTCGATGCGCTAATGACCTTTGGTAAGGCATTAGTCCTCATTACCAGGTCCGTCGGAGAGGACCTAAAGCCGCCGGCCGTCTGGTTGCTTACTTACAAGCATTTATGCTTTTCTTAGCAGTCAGGTAAAATAACCACCACCACATTCATTCAAATGAGAACAAGGCTTTAATTTCCATTGTGAACGGGGTACTTCTAGCTAGTGAGAAGCATCTTGGCTTAATGTCCAGAGCAGGAAATTATCTACATAGGCCTACGGGCTGATAGATGCTTTACTGAAATAATTGTGGATCAAATTCAGAAATCTCTCCATCAACACCGCCCCCGGCAACCTATCACGCATCCTAAAGATTGAGTTTTTACTCGGAATAAAAGAGTTACTATCGACTCTTTTGACTCCGTTATTCTCCTGCTACTGCTACAGGTTGAAATGAAATCAGTTGTTTTGTTAGAAGCACTGCTTTTTCTTTCCTTTTATTTTCTCATGATGTTTTATATACCTTTGAAAGATTCAACAAGTGAAAGCTAACATTTCTTTTTTTATCGATTTCTTTCATTAGAAATTCATCTGTTTCAAGCCAGAAGGACATTTAATCATATATTGTTCACACATTGTAAATGCCCTACTGGCTCTGAAGAGGTAAATTGATATTGCTCTTTCTTCTCTCCATTTCTTGCTGCACCTTTTATATATGATCAGTGATCAGTTGGACCGACCTTTCAAAAACACATGATGTACATGAACTCTTGCAGCTTCCTCTGTTGCTACAGGTTGAATTACAATCTATTGTTTCCTACCGATTCACTCTCTCTTATGCCTCAGTCACACCTAGCTTTGCGTATTTGGCTTGCTTATTGCTGCGTATTTATATCAAGCCGTTTTTTAACATTTATTTCTATTTGATATCAAGAATTACCATTGCTTTCCAACAGAAAATCATTGCTAGATATCAAGAAAAAGGAATAAATGTTAAGAACGGCTTGCCATAAATACGCAGGAATACGCAAGCCAAATATGCAAAGGAGTGACTGAGGCATAAGAGAAGGTTGAGCTCTGGGAAGAGGCTGAAAAATAATATGTGAGCATTATCATTGTATTTTGCAAGTGTGGAAGAACATCAGATAAAAAATGTGCTCTGAAAAGCATGGCTCTTCGAATACCTTCATATTCTAAATACGGCATGTAACATCATACACATTGGGCCAAATTTCTTATCATTTTGATGATTCCAGAACCTTGCAGTACATCTATGCTAGATGATCAACCTTTTCTGATCCATTCCACACCATTTCTTTCACAATGCAATGGCATGACCAGAACTCAACTTTCTCTTTAAAGAAGAGAGTGAATCAGTTGCGTTGTTATTCATCTTACAAAAGAGTTTTATCAGGATGGTTGTAATGATAGTCTGAAAGATCTGGCATCACATCCAAAAGGAACAAATTAATTGCCTGTATATATATATATATACAACGCAGTAATCACCAAAACAACAACTACCGGCGATCAGAAAAATTGGCAGCTGACTTCAGTCTGCCAATTCGCATCTGGGGAACATGTCTGAATTCTGGATATCAAAACCATTACATGTTACAGGTAATTTTGTCCTTTTGGGTGCAATACAAGAACTTTTAAACCTTATTTATTCATATTTGTATTCATCTTTAGTGCAGTATTTCCTGAAAATTGAGATTGCTGGCTGCTCAAAGCATTAGTAAAATTTAATTTTGCACTCATCACAGTAAATTGCAAGAATGAGCAGAAAGCCTAAATCAGACAACATAAATAGAAGCTAAAGGAACAAAGCACTTGAACAGTACCGGGCCCCGATTGCCTGATGAAAATAACAGCAAAGTAGGCATTCAGCTATAGGGCCCCATTTCACAAAACTTTTCATCAGTGACAAATGACAGTTAATGTTATAAGCTACTGAAATCTTTGCTTCTGATTTGTTTTATCAGCAGATATGTCACGGATGACTTTTGTCATTTGTCACTAAAAAAAAAACTTGGTAACACGGGTCCCTGGTGATTTATTCTGATGAGTGCAACACAAGAAGCTGTACTGATTTGTCTGTACCGGTATTTCAATGTTATTCTTTGATTTTCTGGTACCAATCATTTCTTTATTAGCAACATCAGAACACTAGAAATTATCAATAATAATCAGAGAAAAAAAATCATATTTTTCCTCTTTTGCTCCATTGTCAGATTTGCAACTTCTTGATTTGGTCTGAAGTCATCAGGTCACTTTAACTTTTATAGGGAGTCCATTTAAATGTCAGTATAAACAATCAATAACTTCTATTTAGAGAAACAGTTCTTTTCTTCTTTTTCTCCATTGTCAGATTTGCAAATTATTGATCTGGCCTGAAGTCATTAGGTCACTCTTACTTTTATATGGAGTCCATTTAATGTCGGTATCAATGCTATTCTTTTATTTTGTAGTACCAATCGTCTCTTTATAAACAACAGGAGAAAACTAGAAATCATCAAAATAATCAGAGAAAAAAACAAACATATTCTTCCCCTTTTGCTCCATTGTCAGATTTGCTAAAAACAAATAACAGCTATTTAAACTTAAAGAAACGATCCTTTTCTTCCCTTTCGGGGCCATCATCGGGGTTGTGACTTATTGGTGGTCTTGACCTGATAGCTATTCTCAAACGTCATAACTCTTGAGGAGTGAAAGTACAGCACACCCAATCAGTATGTATGGCCACCCTCCCAAAACGCACAAGTCAAGTTGTTTTTCTATTTTTTGAGTCATCTTTTAATTAATTCTTCTCACAACCTTTCCTTTCTGCGCTGGGAACTGGGTTAAGAGAGCACTTAGCGAGATGTTCGTGGGATAGATTCCCGCGGGAGTCGGCGTTAGATCAGTTTGTTTTTCTTAGCCCAACTCATTTGTAATTCGGTCACCCATCGATGGCTATTACTGGTGTGCCACGTTTAGATGGCGTGACCAAAGGCGCCGTTCACATAACAAAATAACTGTCTTGAAATATGAATAATGGCTGCTCAGGCTTGGGTAATCATTTGACTTGCATTGAATCACTTAGCATATTGCAGGTCATATGTGACAAATTGTATTTTTTACGGTAGAGCCCAGGGAAACACCACATACGAAGTTTCTTACAAATCGTAATCAATATATTAAATGAACGGATGAATCTATCATATATATATCCATGTACAGATTCGTCTGTTCAAAATGCCGACTAAATGTGAATTATACTAACTAACAGCTGACTATTTGTCATGTGTTTTCCTTGAATGTTCAAAGCAAATTCACTTTTTTATCGTTGCATCTTCTTTCTTTCTCATTTGAGTAACCTTTCATGATCTACCTTTTTTCCATTGCTTTTGAAATATCTAGCTCCCCCCCCCCCCAAACCCTCTCTCTCTCTCTCTCTCTCTCTCTTGCTCTCTGTCACTCAGCCTTTTCTCTGCTCTTTTCTTTTCACTGATTGCACTGGTTTGTCATTTCTCTCTCAATGGGAGACGTCTTCATCTATGTCTGTACATCCATACAGTCATGTACTTCCTATACTCACCTAGCTTTCTGTCTTTTTCTCTCCTCATACAATGTACAACTGTCTGCTTTTATTCAATCTTGAATAGGGCCTCTCTAGCTCTCTCTCTTTCTCTATCCCTCTCTCTCTCTCTCTCTCTTCTTTCTCTCGTTTTTCTCTCCCCTACTTTCTTTCTTCTCTCTCTCTCTCTCTCCTTTTCTCTTTCTTTCTTTCTTTCTTCTCTCTTTCTCTCTCCCTCTCTCTCTCTCTTAATTTCTCTCTCTCTTTCTCTCCTTTTCTCCTTTTCTCTCTCTTTCTTCCTCTCTTTCTCTCGCTTTTTCTTCATATCTTTCTCTCTTGCTCTTTTTTTTCTCCCTCTCTCTGTCTCACTATCTCACTCTCTTGCAATCAGAATATTAGTTTACATACTCAATATAATGTAATTACTGCATTTCTCTCTTCAGATTCAGGCCATTCCATTGTGATTGTTCTAGATTCACTTCTTAAAAGTGATGATTTTACAGCAAAGATAATCAAATTATAATTCTTCCTCTTTCATAGCAGTCTATGAATGGGAAGTTTGCAAATGACAAATCCATCAGTTTGCCCCATCATACATCATTGAATTGTCCATACAGTAAATGATAAAGAATGCTGTGTTAGGGTAAAAAGTCTTTATTTTATTTATATCCCACAAACTATGACGTAATCTTACGGGGAAAGGTAATTTTATATGCAGCCACTGTTTTGTGGAATAACTTGCTGGAATACCTTAGAAATATATAAACATACAAAAAGTTCAGAAGTATTTTGAAAAAATATCTATATTTGGCACTTTGTTAGATCTCACAATTTGAACCCAATGCACCCTTTCCACTACCAGTACTTCTGTATGCTGTTCTGTAAAAGCTTATAGACATAAAATGTGCTATACAAAAACATTTAATTATTATTAACTTAATCAATATATTGCATTATACAAATGATAATCAGACTACTGTGATGTCATATTGTCTATTTGGTTATCAATGAACATACAGTGACATTCAGTAAATCTTTGAAAAAGTATGTAATTACATTTGACTCTTTAGATATCAAATATCTTCTACTTTCTTAAATAAATGTTATCTATTAAGACAATGTAAATGTTAGTTGAAAATCAAATATCAAACTTACCTTCATCAAAATGTGACAGTGTTGCATCCAGTTAACACCAATGACCAACTATTCCAATAAGCATATATACCTGCATGGAAGAATAACAAAATCAATTCATATTTCCTGAAAATATATTACAGTAATAGAAGTCAATGCTTGTTTACAATATTGAAGTATGTCTGTTTCAACATATCAATATTACCAGAGTCAAAACTGTAGCCGACTATATAGAAGCGATGACAGGCAATGCCTCCATATACATTGAAAAGAATAATTCAACAGATACAATATTTGCTACTTACTGTATGTACTGTACAACATATTATCAAGTGATTCATTCAAGTATATATACAGTGACTGTAGATCTGCTGAAAACCAAACCAAATCTTATAAATCATGTTCAATATTGCAATAATGTACCGGATCATATCTTGAGCAGAAACAGAGCAAATAAATTGGAGCCTTGCCTAAAACTTAACACTTTGGTTGCTTTCCTCGCCTCTCTGCACTGTCGCTCATTTCCCACACATGCATTTTTGCACAATTTAACAATCAACAGGCACCAATAGATTGCTTTAACATAATCGCTTTTAAACAATTATCAATTTCCAGTTTTGATTCACTCCATGACAAGCTTTACACACCAGTGTAATTTATTCTTACACTGGAAACAATTAGATAATCTTGAAGCCTTTGGTAAATCTAACTCATGATGAAAACAATGTGGCACAAGGAGATTTATCTGTGCGGCATATATAAAGACCTCAAATACAAATTGAAGTGAATAGAATCCCTTAATTCTTGGCATCTGAAGCACATAATAGGTACTTGAAATGCTTCTCTCCTTCAGCTCTCTCTCTCTCTCTCTCTCTCTTCAAACGCTTCTCTCCTCTATCTATCTCTCTCTTTCGCTCTCTTCAAATATTTCTCTCCTCTACCTTTCTTTCTTTCTCTCTCTCTCTCTCCTACAGCTCTCTAAATTGGGTTGCACATCCCCTAAAACTGACAACAAGTGCTGTTAAAGACATAGAATTACAAATCAAGGTCTCATCGAGATATCAGAGTACGGGAAGATTTCCATCAAACTCTGCTACTACTGAAACTTGACTCTTAATGAGGGGATGTTTCGTCCACGATGAAGAGCTTTAAGATGAAGGAGTAGCATTGAGCGTATTGAGAAAAACAGGTTTCGGGTTTCGAATTAGGACTTTAATTGAAAACACAGGTAATGTGCTTCTCTTGGAAACATAGATTCTAGTTGTGTCAGATACCAAGAATTCATCTGTAAGATAGAACATAAACAGGATACAGTAGCAGAAAAAGATACAACAATTTATATAATATTGTAAGTGAAAACTTTTGATGTTTTTTCCATTGTTATCTATAGTAGATGTAGACACACTAATAACAAACTATCTTTTTTCTATTATCTTCTAGTTTCCTCTACCACATAATGTGTAGAAAATGGCCATTTTAAAGGTGAGCTGGGGAATACAATTTCTTCTTTATATGTGAAGCTGTGGACATGATGATAATAACACTACTTCACCAGTAGTTATTGTCTTTTATTTGTATAAACAGAAAAGATGGACAAATTACAGGTAAGCTTACAAAAAGCATTATAGTATATATAGTTATAATTAACCAGGAGATTTGTTCTTCTATTTTCTATGACACTACGTAGGACATATTGGAGATGAAGCTTGCAATAAAATTGCTTGTTACCTGCAATATATGTAGACCTTTAATAAATCTCTAGTTTAGTTATTTTCTTCTATTTTTTGGTCTAAAGTACATGAATTCAAAGTAATAAAGGTTCTATTTTATGATACCTTTTCCCTTCTCTCTTTGTTTATATCAAATGTGGACACATTGAAGATAAGCTGACAACAATGACTTCTATTTTTGTTGTCTTCTTTAGATGTGAACATGTGACAAAATACTATTTCTGTTATTTTCTTCCATCTATGTCTTCAGCACATGTGGAAATATATGAGACATTAATCAACATTTGCCACCCTCCACCCAAGTGAAGTAAATGGGTAACTAGGTAGGAAGCAATTCTTTGAATGCTTTACTGCCATATTACGGTGGCTCAGCTACAGCCGGTGTTATACTATTATACTACATGTGTGTATAAAGAATTAAGAGCAGAAGAATATATTCATTTAGTAGGTGCGCCATATTATTATTCATAGTATAAGTATATAATAATTATTTGATTATTGTTCAGAGTAGATGTGAAGGGTAGACGTAGTGATGACTTCATGTATTTAATCTCTTGTCTTCAGTAGATGTAGACATGTTGGAGGTACATGTATGCTTACTATAATGTAACACAGATCAAACACTAAAATAATTTGTGTTAATGTACATTTTCTGAATTACCCCTCAGTCTATATGTGTATTCATACCTCAGTATATGTTTGTCTGTCTGTCTCTTTTTCTTCCTTTGTCTTTCTCTCTCTCTCTCTCTCTCTCTCACTCTCTCTCTCTCTCTCTTTCCTCTCTCTCTCTCTCACTCTCCCTCGTTCTCTCCCTCTCTCTCTTTTTCTCTTTTTTCTCATTCTCTCACTCTCTCTCTCCCTCTCTCTTGCTCTCTCTCTCTCTTTCTTTCTCTCTCTCTCTCTCTCTCTTGCTCTCTCTCTCTCTTTCTTTCTCTCTCTCTCTCTCTCTCTCTCTCTCTCTTGCTCTCTCTTTCTTTCTCTCTCTCTCTTTCAACCATCCTCATTCTTGCAGAAAGGTGTCTGAACTTTGCAAGTCCTTGAAGAAAACAAACCACAATAGCAACCTGGGGAATACTCCTTCAAAATTCAAGAATCCATTTCTAAAAATGGAAAATGAATATAAAAGTAGAAAGAGCCCCGGCCAGCGTCTTCCCCTGCACGCTTTGTTGTTCAGACTAATCCATTATGCAGCTCTCTCAAAAATATGATCGTCATGTTGCTAACTCATAATACTAACTGATCTTGTTGGTTGCATGAACAAGACCAAATTTGTGTGCGTGCGTGCCATTGATCAATTCCGTGACAAGACACGCACACGTGGTTGGATTCCTACCATAATAGAATATTATACTGTAGATGGTGAATATGGATGAAAGCTCAATCTGGTGAACTTTATTACTGGAGAGTACAGTATATTTGAAAATGTTTTATGTTGATGTATCGTGGTATAGTGGTTCATTCTCTTGACTCTCAATCCAAGGGTTGAGGGTTCAAATCCCAGCAGAGCCCTAACTCCCTTTGGCCAGACATTAATCAATATTTGCCACTGTCCACCCAGGTGTATATGGGTACCTTGTAATTGCTTGGGTTGATAATGATTGCAGGGCCCTCAAGAAGGACAGCATTGAAGCTGATGAAACTTCCCTGGGTAAACAATATTAATACTATTATATTCATTATAATTATCAAATAAGGCTCTTGTTTGATGATTTAATCTGAAGAAAATTTTCTTCTTTTCTTTTAGTCTCATTTCTTTCCGGAATTTAAAAGAGAAGACAATAACTTTAGCAATCAGGGCTCCTCTAAAGCCTATCTGCACTATTTTGGACAGGAGGGATAAGACTTCCCTGCAAGGTCACTGACAGGTAGTTATCGCATCAAATCAGCTCTCAATTAACATAAGAAAAAGGGACCATGGGGGACCGCTTAGGAATTATTTGCTATATAGAGTGCACAAGTAGCTACAAGTAGTACAGTCCTGTTTTAACATGTACTGTGTAGCTTTCTCCTTTAAATTCAGAACTGTAACCAACATTCACACAGTGTAATAATTCCTGAATATTTCATGATCAATTAATCATGATCTAACTTCCCAGCTCATTCATTCTAATACTCCATCGCCACACCAATATATCACCCTCCATCTATTATTGCGACCTCAGGAATAATTACACTTGAGAAGATGAAATTCAGCTTGATACCGCCGCCATACCTTGGCATTGAAAGTAGCATTGATGAAAGCATGCTGGTACAATAAAGATAATCTGATAGGCATTCTATGTGTAACCACAGTCAAAAACAGTTAAAGATAAAGTTGAGTTCTGGTCATGCGATTGACTTGTGAAAGATATGGTGTGGAATCGATGAGAAAAAGTTGATCATCTAGCAAAGAAGTATCGGTGTGTACTGCAAGGTTCTGGAATCATCTAAATGCTAAGAAATTTGGCCCAGTCTTCGTAAAGTTACAAGCACTGTACACAGAAAGATGTATATGGGACTATACGCACACATGCGCGACACATGCGTTTATCTCTCACAGACCAATAGATAAACTAATTTACCAAATATATCAATTAGTAGGCGGTTTCCCGGCAAAATTGTTATCATCATGTATTAGTCAAAACATATTCTTTCACATGATTGGTAATAAGAGCTTCCATTTCATTTTTTGAAATTGGCGCGTTTCCAATACTGGTCTTTACCTTTAAAGAGAAGGTTGAGTTCTGGGGAGAGGTGAAAAATAAATTTGTGAGCGTTATCATTGTCATTATGCAAGTGTGGAAGATCATGAGAGGAAAAAAGCATGGCTCTTCAAATGCCTTCATATTCCAAACAAGGCATGTAACATCATACAAATTGGGACAGATTTTTATGCCACATGTTTGTGTAGTCCCATATACATCTTTCTGTGTACAGTGCTTGTTACCAAGACTGGGGCCAATTTCTTATCATTTTCATGACTCGAGAACCTTGCAGTACACACCAATGCTTATATGCTACATGATCAACTGTTTCTGATCGATTCCACGCCGTCTCTTCCACAATGCAACCGCATGACTAAAATTCAACTTTATCTTTAAGTGAAATACCATCCTAATAATAAACATTGCATATGGCATGGAAAGAGGCAGCCTCACAATCATGCATCATTCAACAACGAAAGAGAAAAGGGTTTTCCACTGAAAATATATGCTCATTTCATCTTCAAAAAAGTTTGTGGTTTAATATACTTTCAGATCGGGTATTGTGGAAGGTACACAAATGCAGCCTGGTAGTGTGGAGGTAGATATTGTGGTAAGTAATGATTAAATACAGGATTTCAACGATTGGCATAACCACAATATTTAACACTTTTTTTTTT